GGGAAAATAATAACCATCAAACAACCAGTCTGTTCTTATTCTTGCTTTTAGTCTTCCTAAATCCATTCAACTGCAAACAACATTTTTCTTCATTTTTTAAGATAGGAAATGGTTGTAAATTGTTTTCCAAGCAAACCATTTCAGAGATAATTTCAGTAAGGACATTTAAGACAAACAAAGTAATAAGGCAATTCAATCATTTCTATCAGTACCAGACAAATATAATTTTAAAATATGCTTCACAGTACTGTTGCGACTAAAAGAATTAGCTTAACTTTTAGAGCCAAACTGTGCAACTAAACTCAATTAGTAGAAATTCCCATAAGCAATTAATTCATCCTGAAGCTTTAGCTTATCTTATGGCTGAAGTAATCTTGTAGTATGATGTCCTTTAAACTAGAGCAAAAGATTACAGGAACCCAATTTGCATTGAGTAGAATTTGTACTGAAAGTTCCAATCTTTCATGCTAGTTAACACTGATTTCAGCTTAAATATGTTTGAAAAGCACAAACAAGTGAAATAGTGCTCTATTACTTTTATCGTATGTAGTATACTATAGTAATTGATTGTTACATGTATTAAGTTGCCATAATTAACCTGGCACCATGTTAATTACATAAATTTTAAGAAAGAAATAATGCATACAAAGTTAAGACTAATTTCATTTTTTGTCCCAACCACGGCTTCTTGATTTCATAAGAGGCTAAGGGATGCACCTTGCTCCACAGCTGCCAAAACAGTCCCAAAAGCCACAATACCAGTGAGGAAGTACGTTGAAGCAGCTCCCGCTGCCATTGAGAGCCACAGAATATCAACTCTGCCAAGCGCTGATGGGTTTTATACTTTTGATTTCCCTGCAAGCTGCTCACCATCCTGACTTGAAAATATATTGCCGTTCTTTTACTGTTCCTGGAAATCCCTTCCTAATGGCATTGTGGATCCACCTATACCACATGGACTGCTATGGTTCAAGTAGGCAGATCATCACCTTCTCGAGGGTAACCAGGGATAGGCAATAAATGTTGGCCAACCAGAGATGCCCACATCCCACAACTGATTTAAGAAAAAAGGATGCTGCACAGTTAAGATATGCCTGTTTGATATCTGGACACAATTTTGGTCCTAATTGCTAATTACCATAATTTGAGTTTGCCTGGACACTGTACCCTGTACATTTAGTACCAAATTGTTGATGATACAATTTTCACGGAACAGTATATGTGGACTCCTCACACCCATTTCCACCAGAGGCATGGTGTGTACTAATTGACACTCTGAGGCTAGAAGCAAAGAAGAAACAAAGATTTTCAAAGGTAACACTGGAGGTTCTGATGGATGAAAATCCAGAGTGGAAGAGATGAGTGGTGCCTTTAGGGAAGAATGCTATCTTACGCATTTGCCCTTGAGCCCCTCTATCCTGTAGCAGTTAGTGCTGTTTTAGTTGGCCCATATTCCCAGCCCATTCCTCAATCCCACTTAGGGGGAAAATCTGGCAAGATGCCCATGGCTTAAGCACTTGCCTTCTCCTAGTGACTCTAATAAGGCACCCAAAACATTAGAGTAGTACTTTTTTTTAGATGAAACCCTCAGAGAAATTCTGAACATGTATTGCTTCAGTGTTGGTCAACTCTTGTCACAGTTTATCAAACAATCTCACAGTTCCAGCAGCAAGTGAGCATGAAATGGTGAATATTCCTTTCAAATTTTATATTAATACTGTCTTTGCATCTAATAAGCATCTAATAAGCTTCTGGGTGATCATTCAAGTGCATATTTCAACTGCTTTACCAATAAATGCTCAGCTAACCATTGACTGAGTCAGCATTTTAGCTCAAGAACTCATCTTGACCACCTCAGTCTTTTAAGTGCCTGAACACAATATTAGTATTATTCCTATAAGCTTTCTGATTTTACAGCAAATTTCCAATGCAGTTTTCAAACAACAGTTCAAATTCCCTTAAGTTTGATCTGACAATAACAGCTCTTGAAGAGAACAAACTTTTCCCCCTCTTCTGAAATTGGTAATGATCTTTGAAGGAGTTTCTTTCCCTTTAGAAATACAAGTCAATCTGCATTTACTATTTATTGTGGGTGGAATCTCATAGGCTACAGCTGAGAACTGTGGCAGAATTGGATAAGAAGTCTAATGAGGGCTATCTCAACGTTGGGAGCATCTAGGCACACGTTTTGCGATTTTGCTGAGAAGAACAGTAACCTTCTTGCTAGGCAGCAGGTGATTTGCCAGTTAAGGATCATTATAGCTTGTTAAGTTCCTTATTAATGCCACAACTCATTTCATTTACATTCAGCTTCCCATCTTGACAAATAGATTCAATATCGAGAAATCTCAAAATTGGCATCAGAGTGGGTACCTGGTGATTAGCTTCTCACTTGCTCCGGATGATCTCCATACAAGGAACTGGGCATCAACATCTGCAGGGTACATCCCATGGCCAACAGGCACACACACTCCACAGCCACGGACACTGGCATCTGACATGTGCCAGCCGTTAAGGACTCCCAAAGCATTTACAGAACATTTCTGCATTTCAATGCTGCATCTTGGTCTACACCAGCAACTTTAATTGCAATCTGCTGCAAGGACTCACTGTGCTCAGGGACACACACTGAGCTCATGGCCTGGACCAGGCTGCATCTTCTCCGGGCTCTTCGCTCACTGGCATAGCACTTACCCATTCTGAGACTACCTGGATTCTCACAGCAACTTTGCATTGCCTTGCCTTACCTTTTTATGCTTTGCCCCTTCAGCAGAGGTACTAGGCTCATTTTACTTCTGGCTTGCCTTGCCATTTAGTCATGGTTGTCAGCAGGTCTCAGTTAAGTCAAGGTGGAATAGCCTTCACTCACGGGCTCCCAGACCAGTAAATGCAGGGCAGCCTCTGATGCCATTTCAGGTGCTTGGACACAGTCAGTAAGCTGCTAGGGGCAGTCATAGAGTTGTACAGCATGGAAACAGATCTTTGGTCCAACTCATCCATGCCGACCAGATATCCTAAATTAAGCTAGTCCCATTTGCTAGCATTTGGCACATATCCCTCTAAACTCTTGTTTATATACCCATCCAGATGCCTCTTAAATGTTGTAAATCTACTAATCTTCACCACTTCCTCTGGCAGCTCATTCCATACACACACCACCCTTTCCGTGGAAAAGTTGCCCCTTAGGTCCCTTTTATATCTTTACCTTCTCACTTTAAACTATGCCCTCTAGGTTTGGTGCCTACCCTGAGGAAAAAGACCTTGGCTTTTCACCCTATCCATGCCCCTCATGATTTTATAACCTTCTATGTAGTCACTCCTCAGCCTTCAATGCTCCAGGGAAAATAGCTCCAGCCTATTCAGTTCCTCCTATAGCTCAAACCCTCGAATGCTGGCAGCATCCTTGTAAATCCTTTCTGCATATTTCAAGTTTAACAACATCTTTCCTATAGCGGACAGACCAGAACAGAACACAGTATTCCAAAAGTGGCCTAACCAATATCCTGCAACATGATCTCCTAACTACTATACTCAATGCACTGACCAATAAAGGTAAACTTACTCAATGACTTCTTCACCACTCTGTCTACCTGTGACTCTGCCTTCAAGGAACAATGAACCTGAGCCCCAAGGTCTCTTTGTTTGGCAACATTCCCCAGGACCCTAAGTGTATAAGTGCTGCCATGATTTGCTTTGCTGAAATTCAACACTCAGAGTCAGGAAGCTCTACTCATATTGGGTGAGGGGCAGAACGTCTGTCAGCCCACGACCAGTCTTTCTGCCATGTGATGGCTGTTTCCCTCCTGGAATGAGAGAGGGGCAGGTATCATGGTAAATGAAAGTGGACAGCACAGCTGTTACTTTTGCTGCAAGTGGAGTGATAACCTGAGCAAGTGAATAGACAGTGCACACAGTATCCAGGATTAGTGGTGTCAGGGGTTGAGGTGGGAGATAGTGAGTGGAGAAAAATTGCAGGCAATAACAAGAGTGATAGACCATGTATCTTGATGGAAGGTGGACACAGTAGCAGAGATAGAATGAGTGTGGGGTATCAGACAGAAGAAGGTGGCACTTACACAGGCAGAGTGGAGAAGGTCATAGACCTTCTTCCTAAATTGCCAGACATTCATTCAGATGCCTGAGGCTGTTTTAACCTAATTGGCAATCTTGGACCAGGCTGGCATGGCCTGATGTTGTGACCTGTATTGTTGGACCTGAGGGAAGAGGAAGTCCCATCATCTCATCCAACAGCACCTTCAAAACCCTGCCTGCAATGTGGGGTCCCAATTTCCCCCTGTCTGATGTGCCTGGGACAAATGTCAGGAACCAGACATGGCAGCTTTGGACATTGCTAGTCTGGTTGCAAACCAGGGCTTTAAAAATAGTGTGGGCACAAGGGATGCTAGTCTTTTGGTGAATATTTGGCAAGTGGCGAGTTATTCTGAAAAATGCATGCTAAGATGGGAATAGAATCCTGAAGGACACCATGGCGCGAGGTAGGAAGATACAGCAAGACATCCTGCTGGGCCTCAAAGTGAGAAGCCCTTCAAAAACCTGCACTTAGTCAAACCTATCTGAGCTGACACATATTCCTTAGTTCTCCAATGCCTTTTTTCAAGAAGAATAACTCTGGGCAGAGTGCTGATGTTTTGCCAAACATATTTTCATGTGTTCAAGTCCCCTCTAAATAGCTTATAACTCTATTCCACTCTTAATAATCTCTCAAATCTTGAACATTTTACTCTTGACACAAGTAATTCTTGGATGCTGACTATGGCTGTGTCAATAATGCTGCTTAATGAACTACAGCTAATATACCCATCACCCCAGCAAGTGAAACCATGGTGACGGCTGCTACCATTTTGTGATCCAAAAATTTTAAGCTCCCGAGTGCAATGGTTATCTCATATATATACAACAATAATATTTATTATAATGCAGCATATAAAACAGAATATCAAAATATGATCAGAGATGGATTTAGCTTTATTTGATACTGCATTTTGTATTCCACTGCATTCTTGTTGACACGAAACTTGTAGAAAAAAAATAAAAATGTTGATAATGATATTAGACAGCTGTGTCATATCTCATTCATCAACGATACCTACAAAAAAAAGAAAGGTACAAAGTTAGTATGTGTGTTCTAGAGTCACGTTACAGAAACTCTGATGGTATAAAATGGCATGGTTGTACTGCTATCTACTACAATAGATAAAATAGTGCCAACAAATGTAGTATACCTGGTTTTCTCAACTATCTTTGATAAAGTGCCAATGAATCTTAATATGCAAGGTAAGTGTTTGTGGAATTTGGGTTGTATATTGTATATTAGTATGGATTGGTTAGAGATTTAATTGAAACTCGGCGAAAAGTAGGGATAAATGCACCATTTTCAAGCTAGTATGCTCTATGTATTGGAGTACAGTATCACTAAGATCTGTAGTCTGAAAGGTCACAATCACATTAAACATTCAGGCAACAAAATTATTTCACATGGGAATGGGTGACATAACAAACATCTCTCATTGCAATATCCATTGCTGCAAGTGAAAGGTGACTATGTAGTAATGAAGTGAGTGTGCTTTCTCCAAACTGCCAGGATAACTGGATCCAGGATTTTTAGTTTTAGCTTTCTGCAGTTACTGGGGTCTTAAAGCTGGATGTAGAAGCTTTTATTCCTCTCTCTGTCATAGCTAACAGCTAGGGTTCTTTTCCGGCTGATAGAATGTCATGTGAAACAATCTATTTTACTGAATTTTTCTTTGGCAAGGGTGTGTTTATAGGATATTACTATTTTGAAATAGTTAACTAGTAGTAGTCAATGTATATATATATAATTTTGCTAAGTATTTCAATAGAGTTATAGTGAAGTCAATTCTTTTCTTTTCTTTTTGTTTTGTCTCTATTTTAACTGTAGTGTAAAAATAAAGCGTGTTTTGCTTAAGGTCAAGTACTTTGATCAATTAAATTGCATCTAGAACACAACATCTTACACTTACCTTTAAAATAAGAAAAATATAGGATTAGACTATCATCTTAATATACTTTGAAGAGGTTTGGCCTCGATAAAATAATATGTTGCATCCTTGATCACCCTGGGTGTCGCTATGTGCCAGCCATATAAGGGGCAACTCAAGAAGCAAAGGAGAAGGAAAGCAGGATTGGTCTTGAACCTCTTTATTCTGGACAGGCTGTTGAAGACTGTCAACTCAGCAACCACTTCACATAGGAGAACTTCCTTTTATCATACTGGCCTACATTACCATGTAGTTTGATGTCCAATTCTTTGCCAAAGCCAGCAATGATAATCTTGTTATAACATATTTATCCAAAAACACATCCAGTTACCCATCTATAAATGAACTTTGTGCATTCCTTTAGTGATTATCGACTGACTGCATTCTCTGTTCTGCTGCTGTTTGCACAGTGGTACTTCTGGCACTTTCTTCTCCTGCACACTCTTCAAGAAAAACAAACTTTTACCTCACTGTTCTTACAAACTAATGCCCCACCTTCAACCTCCCATTCCCCTCAAGCACCTTTAAATATGTTTTTGCCTCCCAAATCCACTTACTTCTTTCCCAGAACTCCATATTCGAATTCCTCCCGTCAGGTTTCCCATTCTGCCAAAGTAATGAAATAGCTCTTATCAAAGTTGCAAATGGCATCTTACGTGACTGTGACAAAGGTAAACTTCTCCTCCTTGAATGGTCTACAGACCTTGACTCAGTTGATCTTCATCCAACATCTCATCACAGAAAACCAGACAGGGATTGCACTCATTTGATTCTATTTTTATGTATCTAATCTTGGCAGAATAACACTTTCAATGGCTCCGCCTCCTGCTCCCACACCATTACACTTGGTTGTCCCTAAGGATCTATCTTTGGTCTTTTCCTATTATTCAGTTACATGGTCACCAGCATCATCAAAAGGCACAGTGTCACTTTTCACATGTATACTGAAGACACCCCATGTGGTACCTCACCACCACCTCACTGAACCCCTCCATTGCTACTAAATTATCAGACTGCTTCTCTGAAATCCAGCATCAAATAAGTTCAATTGCCTCCAATTTTATATTTGGAAGACTGAAGCCATGGTTATAATCAGCACTCTGAACTTAATTCCTAACTACCAATTCCATCCATCTCTCTGGCAACAGTGAGATTTCGCCAGTTTCTTCACAAACTTGTATTATATTTGATAATGAAATGAGCTTCCAACCTCATTTTGTGCCATCTCTGAGATGGCCTATTTCTTCCTCTGTCACTTCACACCCTCAACAGCTCATCAGGTGCTGAAACCCTCCTTCAAACCATCACTATCTTTTTGACTATACAACTCCAACACACTCCTGGTTGGACTCCCACATTTTAACTGCTATAAATTTGAGGTCATCCAAAATTCTGCTGACAACATTAATTGCTCCACTATCTGTAGTCGTACCTGTAGCTGCCGAGGCAACTGATCTAATGATTTCACATGTGACTCAATTTTAGACTTTATTCCATAATGTTGCTGTGAAGCACCTTGGAATTTTGTGAATGGTGCCATATAGATATCAGTTGTAATGAAAGGCCACTGACTTACACTAGGGAGACTGCAGATGATCTTTGTAGTATCCCTTGCAGCAGCTTGACTTTGAGGGCCTGGCTTCAGACTGTGCCACCTTAGCAACGGTTGTCTGACTAAGAAGTTGGCTGACGGTTTTTGATAGTTCAGTTTCCAGTAAGCACAGACAAAGGACACCTAATATCTCAATGCTACAGTTGAAGCACAGAGGAAGGCCATGGAATCCATGTTGCGCATAGAACATAGAACATAGAACATTACAGCGCAGTACAAGCCCTTCGGCCCTCGATGTTGCGCCGACCTGTGAAACCGATCTGAAGCCCATCTAACCTAAACTATTCCATTATCATCCATATGTTTATCCAATGACCACTTAAATGCCCTTAAAGTTGGCGAGTCTACTACTTTTGCAGGCAGGGCATTCCACGCCCTTACTACTCTCTGAGTAAAGAACCTACCTCTGACATCTGTCCTATATCTATCACCCCTCAATTTAAAGCTATGTCCCCTCGTGCTAGCCATCACCATCTGAGGAAAAAGGCTCCCACTGTCCACCCTATCTAATCCTCTGATCATCTTGTATGTCTCTATTAAGTCACCTCTTAACCTTCTTCTCTCTAACGAAAACAGCCTCAAGTCCCTCAGCCTTTCCTCGTAAGACCTTCCCTCCATACCAGGCAACATCCTGGTAAATCTCCTCTGCACCATTTCCAACGCTTCCACATCCTTCCTATAATGCAGTGACCAGAACTGTACGCAATACTCCAAGTGCGGCCGCACCAGAGTTTTGTACAGCTGCAACATGACTTCATGGCTCCGAAGCTCAATCCCTCTACCAATAAAACCTAACACACCGTACGCCTTCTTAACAACCCTATCAACCTGGGTGGCAACTTTCAGTGATCTATGCACATGGACACTGAGATCTCTCTGTTCATCCACACTACCAAGAATCTTACCATTAGCCCAGTACTCTGTATTCCTGTTACTCCTTCCAAAGTGAATCACCTCACACTTTTCTGCATTAAACTCCATTTGCCACCTCTCAGCCCAGCTCTGCAGCTTATCTATGTCCCTCTGTAACCTGCAACATCCTTCTGCACTATCCACAACTCCACTGACTTTGGTGTCATCCGCAAATTTACTAACCCATCCTTCTACGCCCTCATCCAGGTCATTTATAAAAATGACAAACAACAGTGGCCCCAAAACAGATCCTTGAGGTACCTCAGTAGTAACTGAACTCCAGGATGAACATTTCCCATCAACCACCACCCTCTGTCTTCTTACAGCTAGCCAATTTCTGATCCAAACCGCCAAATCACCCTCAATCCCATGCCTCCGTATTTTCTGCAATAGCCTACCATGGGGAACCTTATCAAACGCTTTACTGAAATCCATATACACCACATCAACCGCTTTACCCTCATCCACCTGTTTGGTCACCTTCTCAAAGAACTCAATAAGGTTTGTGAGGCACGACCTACCCTTCACAAAACCGTGTTGACTATCCCTAATCAAATTATTCCTTTCTAGATAATTACAAATCCTATCTCTTATAATCCTTTCCAATACTTTACCCACAACCGAAGTAAGGCTCACTGGTCTATAATTACCAGGGTTGTCTCTACTCCCCTTCTTGAACATAGGGACAACACCTGCTAGTCTCCAGTCTTCTGGCACTATTCCTGTAGACAATGATGACATAAAGATCAAAGCCAAAGGCTCTGCAATTTCCTCTCTAGCTTCCCAGAGAATCCTAGGATAAATCCCATCCAGCCCAGGAGACTTATCTATTTTCATACCTTCCAGAATTGCTAACACCTCCTCCCTATGAACCTCAATCCCATCTAGTCTAATAGCCTGTATCTCAGTATTCTCCTCGACAACATTGTCTTTTTCCTGTGTGAATACTGACGAAAAATATGCATTTAGCGCCTCTCCTATCTCTTCAGACTCCACGCACAACTTCCCACTACTGTCCTTGACTGGCCCTAATCTTACTCAGTCATTCTTTTATTCCTGACATACCTATAGAAAGCTTTAGGGTTTTCCTTGATCCTACCTGCTAAAGACTTCTCATGTCCCCTCCTGGCTCTTCTTAGCTCTCTCTTTAGGTCCTTCCTGGCTAACTTGTAAGTCTCAAGCGCCCCAACTGAGCCTTCACGCCTCATCTCTACATAAGCCTCCTTCTTCCTCTTGACAAGAGATTCAACTTCTTTAGTAAACCACGGTTCCCTCGCTCGACCACTTCCTCCCTGTCTGACAGGTACATACTTCTCAAGGACACGCAGTAGCTGTTCCTTGAACAAGCTCCACATTTCAATTGTGCCCAGCCCCTGCAGTTTCCTTCTCCATCCTATGCATCCTAAATCTTGCCTAATCGCCTCATAATTGCCTTTCCCCCAGCTGTAACTCTTGCCCTGCGGTATATACCTATCCCTTTCCATCGCTAAAGTAAACGTAACTGAATTGTGGTCACTATCACCAAAGTGCTCACCTACCTCCAAATCTAACACCTGGCCTGGTTCAAGACAAGCTTGATGCCATACAAGTTCAGACTGCTCCCATGTTGGTTTTGGATCTCATTATTGCATTCTTGTAGCAATCCAGCAATCTGATCTCCAACAGATTACTAGAATTAGTGAGAGTCTACCATTCACTGCAACACTGACATTGTATAGCATGAAGCTGCTCTCTTTACTTAGCATGAAAGCATTCGTGCTTCCAGCATTGCCTTTGCTATTGCCTCCCAGTCAGCCACCAAGCTTGCAGTCACACTGCAGCTTTTGTTTTCCTCTCTTCTGTTATGCATCAGAATGCCTGCAATAGACTGAGAAGAATGTAATTGATTCTATTGTGATTGGATTCTGTGCTTGACATGTACAAATATCTGGAAATATATGGACGCATTGAGAGTAAATTTCAGGCTTGCATAATTGTAAGGTGGGTAAGGGTAAAGCGTAGTATTGAATGTGAGCCTGAGTTCTGACTTTTAGGGGCTACTAAAGGGCGAGATATAGGATTGCAGTGCATTGAGCAACCTGAGATCCTGGTGATGCGGTGCATATTAAATGCTCTTTGATGATGCTTTCTCTGACCGTAACTACCTCAATGAGGTCTTTGAACTTCTGTCAGCATTACTGTCAATTTCTCAGAAAAAACCTCTGTATTGTCTTTGCATGCCCTTGAGGGGATTCTTAGATGGCCTCCAGTTGAGTGTGGAAACTTGGTGTCTCTCCTCCTATATATCTAGATGACTAAGGCCTCCATTGCCATGTCTATGATTCTGGAAAGCCTCTTTTTGTCATGCTGCTGCATCTTCTTCACTGATTGCAGCGTAGAACTCAGAAGCAGGTTCTTATCAGTTAAGGCTTTAAAATGTACTGTCTGCATTTAAGAACTGGAGGCTATCTGGATGATGTGTTAGCCTGTATACTATTAGGTTCCTTGTTGAGCATTTAGCAGGCCCCCCCAAATCAATCATGTGAGGTTCCATGCTATAATTATTTTATGTAGACTCTTCTTTCATAATATTATGAACTGAGAAATCATTGAACCTGTCAGTGGAAAATAACTTTGTGCTGTCACTGAAGTAAGGATTATATTCAAGTTGATCCTTTACAAAACCAACCATAAAATTAATGGTTTTGATTATCTAACCAAGGCATGATGAACTACTGTGTTCTGAACATGTAGGCAGCAACACTGGATAGCCTCTGAAAATGAATGCAGAAATTGCAATATAACATCCTATCCTATACCTATTCAAAGTAATACAGGCAGCATGCAAACTTCATACCACCTGATGATTATAATGGTAGCAAACAACCCAGCAATTGGCCAATAAATGGTCACTTTAGGGCCTCTTCACTCCAGTGCTAGTATTTTAGCAGAGGCAAATAGTGCCCACATTTTGTAACATGTTGTGAATGAGGAGGTCAGGGGTGAGTGAGTGACCCTTCTGTTTGGTTACCCTATGCCCAAGAAAGGCATCCTCCCTGCCCCAACTTTTAATCATGATTATGCTCCTTGTCCAGGCTACTAATCGCAGCCCCCATATCCCCCTCCCCCCATCTTGCTGGGGTCTGCCTTACTAGCCCTGGCAAAGCCACCCCAACTTACCTAAGCGTCTGGCATGCTCTATGGCTCCTCAAGGGGATACTGCTGTAGTCCCAGCAGTAACCACCATTCCTGGTTGCACTGCTGGTCGGATTGGTGGCTGCAAGCACCAGATTGACCAGAAGATCTGTGAGATGGAGCATCTTCCAAATGAGGGATGAAACATAACTTCACATGGTTAACAATATGCACCTGTTCAATCTGGTTATGGCTTTCCGCAGAGACAAGTTCAATCTGACTTTTCGACTGGGATGTGCTGTCCACCTCCTGCGTGAAAATATCCCATTTAAGACTAAAAATTTCTACACTTCTAGCTACATTACAGGAGTGGACTAAAAGCAGCACGCAGAGCACTTTCAGACCATGCAAAAATACTTCATTTGACAGCATGTTCAAAATTAGGATTAATAAGTGTATATTTGTACATGAACATGAATAACATAAGCCCCAGATTTTCCTTGTATCTCAATCATGTTATAATAGTCACAGTGACCCTATGCAAAGTGTATACTGAAAGCAATTCATTTCAAGAGGCTACTTGCATAAAAGATAAAATCATGTAAATTGCTTAGGAATATAAACAAACTGAAATGACCGGCTTCAGTTCTATATGACACCATAGGAATCATTTTAGAGTATTAGGTTTGTATGCTGCAGACAGCAGTTATTTTATACATGTCACCTTTGAGGAAGTTTGTCTGTTTCTCTAGCTATTGCTTTGATTGACGCTGAGTTCTCCGTCTCTCTAGTTCAAGCACAGTCTGCAAGACATTATAACAGTTAGTAATAACGACAAATGTATTTCCACATAGACAACTTAATACAGCAGTACAGACATCCTTTAATAGAATGAGGAATCTTTTCTACCATTCGTTTCTAAGTCGGTACGTTAGCATCAAATGGGAACAAGCATGCACCAGCTTTTTTAAGCCATCCACTAAATCATACTAAACTGCCTTGAAGCTTCCATACATAATGGTTTCACTTCTATACCATGATCAGAATTTTTTTGGCACAGCAGGACCTCAGACATCAGCCCCAAAGCCAGGATCATGCCGCATTGGCCACTTTTGGAAGCTCTGAGCCATAATATCTATCACCATTCAGCGATAATTAGTTGCCATCAAGGCTTCCATCCCGACCCCAGCAATTAGCAGGTTAACACTTGGAAGACTGACAGCTGAGGGGTCTCAGTAGCACGACTGAGGACACAGTGGTGTGACTGCATGTGAAATAGAGCATGTCATGGGGCAGGCTGCTGGCAAATGCAGTCAGTGGAATGTGAGGTTGCAGGGAGAAGCCAGGCTTTAGTGACAGCAGATTGGGGTAAGACAGCGGTGGCCACTGCCACCTATTAGCCCCTTTAATGGTGACAGTAGGAAGCCCTTTATTGGTAACTAGGCAGAAGGGTGATCATTTTCCAGCACTGGTAAAATGCCACGGCAGCAAGAATTCAACATTTATTCCACCTTCTGTCTTCATGAATTATTTTACGGCACCTCCTCACTCTCTCCACATCTCTCAGAAGACTGATAAAAATCTAACCCCTCACATCAGATTACCAATATTATTTCTCCTGTTTTGTTTTTAGGGATTTAGTTTTTACTTTTCAGCTGGACACATTCATTTATTAGATGGCCTTTGTGAGAGTTAAAAAGCGACATTTTTAGCAGCTATTTGAATTTAAAAAGGTTCCCTAGACATGGAGATTGTGTTTATGAATTCCTGGCACGACACTGAAGGGTGCATACAACAGATTCTCTTCATGATCAGAAAGATCAACTGTTACATATAATCCTGTGGTTATTAAATGGACACAATACCGTAGTTCTTTTGCTACTAGATTAGTAAAGAGACGACTGAGGCTAATAATTCAGACCTGGAAATAGGAACATAGGTATATAGGAGCAGGAGTAAGCCATACAGACCCTCAAGCCTGCCTTGCCATTCTATATCATGGCTGATCATTAACGTCAACATCATCCACATATCTCTCAATGTAATCAAAAACTAAAAATCTAACAATCTCTGTCTTGAACTCGTTTAATGTCAGAGCTTCTACAGCCTTCTGGGGTACAGAATACCAACAATTTAACACCCTCGAAAAAAAGGAATATCCTCATCACTGTCATAAATATCTTGCTGTTTATTCTGAGCTGTGACCCCTCATTCCAGACCTCACAGCCAAGCGAAACGTCCTTTCTTCATCGAAACTGGCTGTCCCTTTAAGTATTTTGTAAGTTTTTATGACATTGCTTCTCATGCTTCTAAACTCCGGAGAATGCAGGCCAGTCTCCTCTATCTCTCATTATAGGACAGTCCCACCATTTAGGAATCTATCCAGGAAATTGAAGAATTAGTAGCATTTTGAAAGCTGAACACTAATGCACGAAACAAAGGACTGTGGATGATTGAAATCAGAAAGAAATACAGAAATTGCTGGGAAAACTCAGCAGGTCTGGTAATGTCTGTGGAAAGAAAGCAGAGTTCACGTTTTGGGTCGAGTGACCCTTCTAATGGGAGGGTTCGATGTGGGTGAGGGAGGGGTTGGGGGAGGGTAGAGGAGTAAGTGATTGGTGGAGAAGGAGCCAAGAGAAATAGAGAACAACTGTTGGACAGACAGAGGAATGGGTAAAGGTCAGCCAGGGAGAATGAATAGCTGCTAAAGGGGACCATTAATAGCTGACAATGGATTGGTGTTGGTAGCAGCCCATGTGATAATCAGGCCTGCTGTGTGGGGTTTGGGGTAAGGACATGGGAGAAGATGCTACGACCTTAAAATTATTATATTAAGTCCAGAAGGCTGCAGGGCTCCCAAGCAGAAAATGAGATGCTCTTCTTTCAGCTTGCGCTGAACTTCACTGGAGCACTGCAGCAAGCATGAGACAGAGATGTTGGTCAGTGGTAAGTTGAAGTGGCAGGCAACTGGAAGCTCAGGGTCATTTTTGCAGACAGAACGGTGTTCTGCAAAGAGGTGGTCCAGTCTACATTTCATCTTCCTAATTTAAAGAAGACCACATTGTGAGCAATGAATACAGGAGAGTACCTTGAGTGAAGTGCAGGTAAATCATGGGTTCACCTGTAGGGTGTATCTGGGGCCTTGGATGGTGATGGGGGAAGAAGTAAATGGCTAGATGTGACAGCATCTGTGATTGCATGGGGCTGTGGGAAGGTGGTAGGAGTGGAGGAGGAGTGGACCAAATGTCCTGGAGGGAATGTTCCTGCAGAAGGCTGACAAGGGAGGGGAATATGTGTCTGGTGTTAGCATCTCACTGGAGGTGGTGGAAATAGCAGCTAATGATCCTCTGAATGTGGATTCTGGCGGGATGGTAGGTGATTCGAGGAGCACTCTTTCACTGTTGTGGGAAGGGAAGAGAGGGGGTGGGGGAAGAACTGAGATGGGTCAGACACAGCTAAGGGCCCTGCCAATCATGATGGTGGGAATCCTTGGTTGGGAAAGAATGTGGACACTTTGGACGCCTCCTTGTCGAAGTTGGCATCATCAGAATCAATGTGACAGAAATGGAAGAACTAGGAGAGTGGAATAGAGTCCTTAAAGGAAGTAGTGTTTGAGAATGTATAGTCAAGGTAACTGTGGGAGACAGTGGGTTTGTAATGGATATTGGTGGCCAGCCTATCTCCAGAAATGGAAACAGAGAAATTGAGGAAGGGGAGGGATGAGTCAGAGATGGACCAAGTGAAGGTGAGAGCAGGGTGGATATTGGAAGCAAAATTGATCAATTTTTCCAATGCCGGATGAGAGAAGGAATCAGCACTGATGATGTAATCGATGTACAGGAAAAAGAGTTATGGGGAGGGACCCGAGTAAGATTGAAAGAAGGAATGTACCATGTACCCCCACAAAGAGACAGGCATAACTGTGACCCATGTGGGTACTCATGGCCACACCTTCAACTGAAGAATGTGAAAGAAGTTGAAGGAGAAGTTGTTCAAAGTGAGGATGCGCTCGGCCAGGTGGAGGAGGGTGGTCGTGGATGGGGACAGTTCAGGCCTTTTTTCCAGAAAGAGGCAGAGAGCCCTGAGACTATCCTGATGGGGGATGGACATGTAAAACTTTTGCACATTCATGGTAAAGAGGAGGAACCTGGAGCCTGCGAACTGGAAATTCTGAGACTGACATAAAGTGTTAGATGAATCTCTTTCTGCCCAAAACAGTGATAAGGTCTCCCGGTCCTCACTTACCTCCCCAACAGCAGCCACATACAAAGGATCACTAGCTGCCATTTCATTTACCTCCAGTGGGATTCCACTCTCCTCTTGTTCTTTGACAGCATTCCAGAGGGACCATTCCCTCTAGACTGCCTTAGTCCACTCTTCCTCCATTCCCCACATCCTCATGGTACCTTCCTTTGCAATCGCAGAAGGTGTAACACCTGTCTGTTTACTTCCTCCCTCCTCGTTATATAAGGCCCCAGACATGACTTCTAGGTCAAGCATCAATTTACCTGCACTTCACTACTATATTATACTAGGAGGTAGGCGATGGCCTAGTGGTATTATCGCTCGACTATTAATCCAGAAACCCAGCTGATATTCTGGGGACCTGGGATCGAGTCGCACCATGGAAGATGGTGGAATTTGAATTCAATAATCAGGGGAAAAAAAAAAGTCTGGAATTAAGAATCTACTGATCACCATGAAATCATTGCCTATTGTCAGAAAAACCCATGTGGTTAATTAATGCCCTTCAGGGGAAGAAATCTGCCACCCCTCACCTGGTCTGGCCTACATGTGACTCCAGACCCACAGCAATGCGGTTGACTCTCAATCGCCCTCTGAAACGGCCTAGCAAGCCACTCAGTTGTACAAAGCCTCAAAGAAATGAAACTGGACGAATCACCTGGGATTGACATAGGCACTGGAAAAGACAACGGCAGAAACAGCCCTGTCGACCTGCAAAGTTCTGCTCACTAATATTTGGGGGTTAGTGCCAAAATTGGGAGAGCTGTCTCACAGACTAGTTAAGCAACAGCCTGACATAGTCATACTCACAGAATCATATTTTACAAACACTGTCCCAGACACCACCATCACCATCCCTGGTTATGTCCTGTCCCACCGGCAGGACAGACCCAGCAGAGGGGGCGGCACAGTTGTAGACAGACGGTGTTGCTCTAGGAGTCCTCAACATGGGGTCCGGACCCCATGAAGTCTCATGGCTTCGGTTTAAACATGGGCAAGGAAACCTCCTGCTGATTACCACATACCGTCCTCCCTCAGCTGAGTACTCTGTGTTGAACAACACTGGGAGGAAGCACCGAGGTGGGCAAGAGCACAAAATGTATTCTGGGTAGGGGATTTGAATGTCCACCACCAAGAGTGGCTCAGCAGCAGTACTACTGATTGAGCTGGTCAGGTCCTAAAGGACATAGCTTCTAGACTGGGTCTGCGGCAGGTGGTTAGGGAACCAACAAGAGGGAAAAACATACTTGACCTCATCTTTACTAATCTGCCAGTTGCAATTGCATCTCTCCATGACAGTATCGGTAAGAGTGACCACCGCACAGTCTTTGTGGAGACGAAGTCCCACCTTCACATTGAGAATAACTTCCATCGTGTTGCGTGGCATTATCACCATGCTAAATGGGACAGACGTTGCACAGATCTAGCAACTCAAGATTGGGCAACCCTGAGGCACTGTGGGCCATCAACAGAAGCAGAATTGTACTCCAGCACAATCATGGCCTGGTATAGCCCCCATTCAACCATTACCATCAAGCCAGGGGATCAACCCTGGTTCAATAGAGAGTGCAGGAGAGCATGCCAGGAGCAGCATCAGGCATACCTGAAGATGAGGTATCAACCTGGTGAAGCCACCAAACATGACTACTTGCATGCCAAACAGCGAAATCAGCAAGTGATAGACAGAGCTAAGCGATCCCACAACCAATGGATCAGATCTAAGCTCTGCAGTCCTGCCACATCCAGTCGTGACTGGTGTTGGACAATTAAACAACTCACTGGAGGAGGAAGCTCCACAAATATTCCCATCCTCAATGATGGAAGAGCCCAGCACATCAGTGCATAAGATAAGGCTGAAGCATTTGCAGCAATCTTCAGCCAGAAATGCCGAGTGGATGATCTATCTCAGCCTCCTCCAGTGGTCCCCAGCATGACAGATATCAGTCTTCAGCTAATTTGATTCACTCCACGTGATATCAAGAAATGGTTGGAGACACTGGATACTGCAAAGACTACGGGCCCTGACAACATTCCAGCAATAGTACTGAAGACTTGTGCTTCGGAACTTGCCACTCCCCTATCCAAGCTGTTCCAGTACAGTTACAACACTGGTATCTACCTGAGAATGTGGAAAATTGCCCAAGTATGAGCTGTACACAAAAAGCAGGACAAATCCAACCCGGCCAATTATTGCCCCATCAGCCAACTCTCGATCATCAATAAAATGATGGAAGGTGTCATCAACAGTGCTATCAAGCAGCACCTGCTCAGCAATAACCTGCTCAGTGATGCCCAGTCTGGGTTCCGCCAGGGCCACTCTGCTCCTGACCTCAATACAGCCTTGGTTCAAACATGAACAAAAGAGCTGAATTCCAGAGGTGAGGTGAGAGTGACACCCCTTGATATCAAGGCTGCATTCGACTGAGTGTGGTATCAAGGAGCCCTACCAAAACTGGAATCAATGGGTATTGGGGGCAAACTCTCCAATGGCTGGAGTCATATCTGACACATAGGAAGATGGTCGTGATTGTTGGAGGTCAATCATCTCAGCTCCAGGGCATCTCTGCAGGAGTTCCTCAGGGTGGTGTCCTAGGCCTACCTATCGTCAGCTGTTTCATCAATGACCTTCCCTCTATCATAAGGTCAGAAGTGGGGGTGTTCATCAATGATCGCACACGTTCAGCACCATTCGTGATTCCTCAGATATTGATGCAGTCCATGTTCAAATGCAACAAGATCAGGACAATATCTAGGCTTGTGCTGACAAGTGGCAAGTGACATTTGCGCACGCAAGTGACATTTGCGCACACAAATGCCAGGGTATGACCATCACCAATAAGAGACAATCTAACCACTGTTCCTTGACATTCAATGGTGTTACCATCACTGAATCCCCCACTATCAACATCCTGGGTGTTATCATTGACCAGAAACTCAACTGGACTCACCGCATTAAAACAGTGGCTACGACAGTAGGCCAGAAGCTCAGAATACTGCGGCGAGTAACTCATCTACTGACTCCCGAAAGCCTGTTCACCATTTACAAGGCACAAGCCAGGAATGTGATGGAATACTCCCCATTTGCCTGGATGAGTTCAGCCCCAAAAACACTCAAGAAGCTTGACACCATCCAGGACAAAGCAGCCCACTTGATTGGCACTACATCCACAAACATCCACTCCCTCCACCACCGACTCTCAGTAGCAGCAGATGTACTATCTACAAGATGCACTGCAGAAATTCACCAAAGATCCTCAGACAGCATCTTCCAAACCCACAACCACTTCCATCTAGAAGGACAAGGGCAGCAGATATATGGGGACACCACCACCTCCAAGTTCCCCTCCAAGTCACTCACCATCCTGACTTGGAAATGTATCTCTGTTCTTTCACTGTCGCTGGGTCAAAATCCTGGAACTCCCTCCCTAATATAATTCTGGGTCAACCTACAAAAGGAGTACTCCAGTGGTTCAAGAAGGCAGCTCTTACCAACTTCTCAAGGGTAGCTAGGGATGGGCAAGAAATGCTGGCCAGCCAGTGACGCCCACATCACACAAAATGAATAGAGAAAAAAAAAATTGCTGCTCGCAATGTGGTCTCCTCTACATTAGGATGACAAAACGCAGACTGGGCAACCTCTTTGCAGAACACCTATGTTCTGTCTGTGAACACGATTCTGAGCTTCCAGTTGCCATGTTTCCAGGCCAACATCTCTATCTTGGGCTTGCTGAAGTGCTCCAGTGAAGCTCAGTGCAGCACCCCACTGCCACAAACCCATCTTCACCATATATACAACCTTTCTCCAGCTGAAATCAGTTCTGAGAAGGCTCATTGGACCTGACATTAACTTTGTTTTCTCCACAGATGCTCCACAGGCGTGTTGAGTTTTTCCAGCAATTTCTGTTTTAGTCACCAATCGACCCACTATTTCTGTTGTCATCTTTTTTGACAGCCTAGAGTGAAGATCAGTGGGTCCCAAGTAGCTGTTAACTACCTGCTTCATTAATTTTACCAATTCTACCTTTTTCACTAATATCAATTTCTTTCAATTCTGCATGCTCTCTGGTTCCTTAGATCTTAATTATTTCAGGAAGACTTTTTGTATCTTCCACCATGAAGACAGTTAGAAAGTATTAATTTAGTTCCTCTGCTATTTCACAACTTCCTCTTGTGCATTCTCCTATCTCTGCCTGAAATGGACTCATATTTGTCTGTGCCACTCTTTCCCTCTTAACATTCCTGGAGAAGCTTTTGTAGTCCACTTTTATATTTCTTGCTATTTTACATATATATCCTATTCTCTCTTTCTTTTCTAATTTCTTAGTCCTCTTTTGCTTAATTTGAATATCATCCAATCCCCTGACTCACATCACTTTATATGCCTCCTCCTTTGATACAATGTAACTTTATCTTCCCTTGTTAACCGTGGCTGTCTTGTTTTTCCATTTCTACTTTAAAGAAATTTATGTGTTTGGAAAGTCAAGCATTAATTCTTCAAACATTAAAACCTAGACAGTTGATAGGTAATGCCTCATGTATTTTTCCAATCCATCACAGTCAACCCCTCTTTGTTTTAATTTAAAAGTTAATATTGGTTAAGTGACCAAGCAGCTTCCTGGTTGTAGTAAATAGCCAACTATTGCTCTGTATGGAAGAAATCTTGCCATCCTTATCCAGTATGGCTTAATCATGATTCTTGTTGCAAGGCAGCAAACTTGACTCAACAGCACATTGAAGTGATCTAAAAAGCCATGTAAAGCATTTCCCTTTAATTCCAACCAATTCTGATGGAGTTCCTGATGCCAAGAGTCGCTTATGACCATATGATGAGAGGCACAGTTGTATAAAGGAGTACGCAAGAAATGCTATGATGTAATCGAAACTCCAGTTTATTGTTTTTTGATACCACTAGGGACAATTTGCTCGGTGTCATATTGCTGAATTAATTTAAGTTTAGACTTAATACAGTCATAATTCTAATAAGAGGGTATTGCCAAGGGGAAAATCTGGAATCTGTTGTCATTATATGGGGAAACAACTCTGAATTTCTCAGAATAAGCAATATATTAAGTGAAAGTGAAGGAAGGACTTGTGGCTCAGTGCATAGTGTGCCTGCTTCTGAGCAGGAAGATGTGGCTTTGAGTTCCACTTTGGACTTGATGGCCATAGAAGATGTGCTTGTATTGTGATCATTCTATCATTCTGTAAATCCTTCCAATGTGCCCATGGCAGGCAATGAGGGTCAGAGTATCTCATCAGCCATTCTTGACATGGAGTGGCACTCCTCTGGTAACAGACTAGTGACAGTCCAGTAAAAGCTATCTTTGGAAATGGACATTTTTGTTTGTCTCATACATGACTAGACATGGGAAATCTTCTAAGTCCAAATAGGTGAAAGAGGAAAGTGATGTTGAATTTCTTCTTGGGACTAAGTCATCCAAACATTTCAATAACCCTCAAAGAATGTTGTGAATATTTCTTTATGTGTAAGGGTGAACAAAGCAGAAGGAATGAACTAAATTTTGCTTCTGTTTACATTTACTTCAGATATAGAGGCCTTAAATCCATGGAAGTCTGGGCAAGATGTGAAGTTATCGCTTGCTCAAGAGTGTGATATTCAGTGGTTACCAGCCGATGGGAAGCCACAGCTTGCTGGAGCATAAATGGGTCCAAGTTCTAACTTTATGACCAATTGCCTAAGGGAAAACATCATTTAAATTTCAAACTGTGCCAATAGGAAATACCTTGTAAAACATACTTACACCATCACCTGAACTTAAATTTGGCCTGAATATTTTGCTTTTAATAATACATGTCATAGATTCCTCTAGCATAATGAATAAAACTTAATGTTGCTACATACCATGTCAGTAAGCCCTAGAGAAGACAATAATGCTGTAGAGTCAAAGTGTACATGACAGAATTCTTTTGGCCATAACTTCTTTCCCTGTGGTGGATGTGAATTGTGACCTTCTGAAGATCTTCCTTGACTATTTCCTGCTGCATGAAAATTAACATTGGTTGGATCTTCACGCAGGAAATCCTTGATATGTTGTATTGTCAGTTCATTTGTAGATTCCCACTGTCCTCTCTGGTGTAGAAGTTCTATGAAAGCCTCAAAACTTTGTTTTTTCTCATATTGTGCATTATTGTAACGCAGTTTCTCAACTGATAAGTCATTAGCTGTTTTATCTGCTATGCTGTCTCTTTTTTTCAGTGATGAGGGCTGAAAATTATCCCCTGCAAAACCATTTCTAACATTGTTGGTGCTCACGGAAATCAGAGGTTCTTCTTCATTTCCTATATCAAAGAGACCAACATCTTCATGTATTATTTCCTCGTCTTGGTTAACATTTTCTACCGCGTCTGATTCCTCATCTTCGTCTTCATCGTCATCCTCATCAGCACGTTCTCGATCTGCTGGCACATCATGGGCTACCAGACGTATAATTAATTCCCTTTTATCATTCACATCTTTCAAAAGTTCTACTTTTGAAATTTCAGGGTTGAACAAATTTGTGAAGGAGTTTCTAGCAAGGACCTGTTATACACAAAATATGCATGAGATTTTAGTATATACAGCAATACTGAAACAGTGCACTAGTTTCTTACATTGTGCACCAAATGAAAGAATACAATTATAGGTTGTTTACATATACAGAAGTCCATTTTGCCTTTTGTAACCATGTTGTCCATGTGTGAGATGAGGAGCTAGTCCCACACACCAGTCCTTTATCTGTACCTCTATAATTTATATCTGAGACAGCAAGAACTGAAGATGCTGGAGTCAGAGTCAATACAGTGTGGAGCTTGAGGAACACAGCAGGTCAGGCAGCATGAGAGGAGTAGGAAAGTCAATGCTTTGGACCCTTCATCATCGTTATGATGGGTCCCAACCTGAAACATCGATTCTCCTGCTCCTCTGATAATTTACGTCTGTTCAGTTAACTATCCAAATCCTTCCTGAAAGTCAGGATTTAGTCTTGATTATATTCTTAGGCAGTGCGTTTCAATTCCTAACTACTCACTGCTTAAGAAAAAGGCTTTACTTATGTTGGTTCTTTCACCATTCATGACCTTACAGTGTGCTCTTGTTCTTGATACTTCTACCAATGGGAATAGTTTACCTCTAATAACCCTGAGTAGAACCTCCTTGATTTTGAACACCCTATCAAAATTCTTCTCAAACTTCTCTCTTTTAAAAGAACACTCCAGCTCTTCCAATCTTTTCATTAAGTGATGTCTTTGGAATTATTCTTTTAGTCTTTTCTGCAGTCCTTCTAAAACCTTCTTATCCTTCCTGAAGTGTGGTGTCTGGAATTGTACTTAATCATTAGCAGCAATTGGAACCAGAGGAGGGCTGATGGGGGTGAGGATGAGGTGGACAAGGCCAGGATTGGGGAATCAGTGACAGTGGTAAGATCTTGGTAGGGCATTGGGTGGAAAGGCGAAGCTACAAAGACCACAGTAAGGGGCCTATCCTCTGCCCACCCACCCCAACAAAGCCCAGTTATCAGCCCAAACAATGAAATCTGCTGGGCTCAAACTTGGCATCAGCCTCTCCCCTACCGTAGGTAAAATCCCAGCAGTGGCTGGACAAGGCGTTTAAAGGCATACGTGCCTCACCACCACCCTGCACCAGGTAAAATTACAGTGGGAAAAGAGTGGTGGTGGAGGCGTACAGGCAGGCAAGCACAAGAAAGAATGTCCATGCTAAGTTTTAAACACTTCCCTGTCTGCTGGGTAAGACATTAAAATCCCAGCCAGCATCTTTATTTATAAAGCCCAGCATCCTGTATGCCCTTTCAGCCATTTTCATACTCCTGCTTGTCACCTTCAATATTTAGTGCATATATTCTCCCAAATTTATTGTTTGTGATTCCACCGCCCCCCCATTAGAACTTCGCCCTTTTATTTCATATTGATTATTATACTTTTGATCAAAACAAAATTATTCACTTGAAACTTTTCTACTTTAAATTTTGACATCAGTGAAAATTTATTGTATTTAAGAAAGGCCACTAATGTAGTAAAATATCTCAAAGCAATTTCATAAGTATTATCAGACAACAATCAGCATTAAATCAAAAAAAATTAGTAAGATTAACTAAAACCTTGACCCAACAAATCGGATTTAATTAGGTTCTTAAAGAATGTGACAGTCATCAGGAAAAAGTATTAAGGAGAGAATTCAAGAGCTCAGTACTTGGACAACTAATCATACCGCTATCAATGATGGTGTATAAGGCTCATTCTTCTATATTCCTACAGGTACAGTCCCAATCTACACAACTGCTCCTCATAAGACAGTTCCTCATACTTAATTCTATGCCTAGTGAACCTTCTCTGGACAGCCTCCAATGTCAGTATATCTTTTTCAAATCTGTGCATAGTATTACAGTTGGGGGTCTGACCAGTGTCTCGTATAGTTTTAGCAAAATCTCCCTGCTTTAACATTCCATTTCCTTTGAAAGAAAGGCCAATATTCCATTTGCATTTTTATGATTCATGGACGACAATCCCAAATCCCTCTGTTCCATAGCTTACTGCAATCTTTCTCCATTTAAATAATATTCATCTCCTCCGTTCTTTCTGCCAAAATGCATAACCTCACATTGCTATACATTTTATTCCATCTACCCAAGCTTTTGCTTACTCTGTTAATTTATCTATATCCCTCTGCATTCTCCTTGTGTCATCCTCACCACATGCCTTCCTGCCTATGTTTGTGTCATCTGCAAACATGGCTATAGTATGTTCACTTTCCCCATCTAAATTATTAATATATAGTAAACGATTGTGGGCCCAGCTCTGAACTCTGTGGCATACCACAAGTGCCACCCTGAAAATGCTCCCTTGATGACAACTTTGCCTTCTATTAGTTTGCTAATCCTGTATCCACGCTAATAAGTATTTCCAAATCATGGGCTCTTATCTTATTAAGTAGCCTCATGTGTGGTATCATGTCAAACCCCTTCTGGAAATCCAAATACTTCACATTTATTGAGACTGATGCTGTTTTTCCTTTATTTTCTTGATTTTGATTTGTGACTGCAAGCTGAAGTTGAGAATCAGACTTTTAAAACAAAAGCGAACAAACAGGATGATGTTTGCATATGTGAACTGGCCTGGAAAAATAATTGCAGCTTTATTATTATTCTATGAACACAGTAGATTTTCCAGCACCAAGACATGTTATATTCAGGGATTGACAGCTGGTTGGACGTTGCATTGGTCAATCAAGGGGAGGCCAACGCTGGCCAGCCAATCATGGAAAATGCTGAAAAATAAAGAGAAGCCAGAGACTGAATTAGATTTGACTGGGCAGTAGGGTGTATGCTTAGAAGCTGCTGGGCTGGAAAGCTGTGTTTGCGTTTCAGTTTCTCTGGTTTTATGTTCAGTTAAAGAATTGTTTAATGATCTAAGAAAAGATTCCCCATTATAAGAAATAAGTGAAAATTCCTCAAAACCTGTTGAACACTGTTGCATTGACCAGTGACTTTGGAATTCAGGCAAGCTACAATCCCATGTAATATAGTGTATTGTTCAACAATTCCATAACAACTTGGTATTCATTGTTGAAATGGTTATCAAACTGGCAAATTACAGCTCTTTTAATTTCTTTTCATTGATCCCTTAACTGTACCTGTCTGTCTATGTATGTGAATGAGTGGAGCCTATGATCAAAGTCGAATGGGTTTAAATCATAGACCTTAATTATATTACCTTGTTGTTTAGTTTTGCTTTCCTGAAGTGACAATATTAACAACATATTGTTAATTTTGTTCATGCTATAAACTTGGTGTCCAAAATCAGTTATTCATAAAGTGTGGTAAGGAACAATTAGACTATTTTGAAGGTTATTGAATACTTTAATTCAGTGTTAACAAGTCTGATTTAGTATCCCTGTGCTTTATCGCATCCGGTGATGCCCCTTTAACTATCCTGCTTGTTACCTCCTCAGAATTCAAGTCAATTTGTCAGATATGAAGACATGCTAACTCTGATTGATCATATGATATATTTTTAAATGCTCTGAAATGACATCCTTTATAATAGTCCAACATTTTCTGAATAACAGACATTAAGCTAACTGGCTAGTTACGTGTTTTTGTTTCTTTCCCTTATTAAATAAAGATGTTACATTGGCAGTTTTTCAGTTCTCCGGGCCTTTTCAAAATGTGGAAGATTATTACCAGTGTATCCACTATTTCTGTAGCTACTTCCTTTAAAATCCTGGGATGCATCTCATCAGGTCCAGGAGACTTATCAGTCTTTAGCCCCATTAGTTTTCCAAGCATTTTTTCTATCGATAGTTATTGCATTCATTTCACTTCACAAATATTTAGCAATATTAGAAAGCTATTAGTGTCTTTATCTTGAAATGCCAAGGCATACAAGGTTATTGGCCAAATGTTGGAAAATGGGATTACAATAGTTAGGTGCTTTGTTTTTGACCAGCATGGATGTGATAGACCGAAGGGCCTTTTCTGTGCTGTAGACCTCTACAACACTGAATGCAAGAGGTCAGAGCTTTTGAATGCTTGTAGGACTACTGGTGGTGACAGATATAGGGATAAGTTATGCCATAAAGGGATCTGAACATGTGAATGAAAGTATTAAATGACTGGAGTCAACAGGGATAAGTAAGCACATAGGTGAGAGGGATTGGTAGACATAGGAAAGTGCATTTTGGTTGAATTCAAGTTTATGGAACACAGAGATGACAGGCAGGTCAGGAAAACATTAATATATTCATGTCTCAAAGGATTCTTTATCATATTCTCTTATCCAAGAAGAATTTAGAGACCTTCGCTAACATTATTACTAAATTACCTATCACATGGAATTGTAAGTGTAATGCAATATATGCTTTTCTTGAAAGATGTTGGGCTGGAAACACAAGGTCTCTGTACTCATGCAGCATTTAGAATCTCCCACTGCCTCTTTGTGACGCGGCTGCTGTTACATTCATTGGAGATTTCCTTATTGGGAGTGCCCCATGTCCCACCTATGGGGAAGTATGTTAAACCATCATTTGTGAGTGATTTGAATGCCAATTGCTCACATTTCTAAGAACCTGTTCTGCTTGTTGTGTTCTTCACACAGATTCATTGTAAGTGTGACTGATGATTCCATGCACCGCAGGGATTGTTGCCACTATCGTTGCAATGCAACAAAAACCCAGAGAAGTGGAGAAGCAATAAACATACCAGCAATCCTAAAGTTAGTAGCAACCTCCAGCGGAAGGCTCCACATGAAGAGATCACAGCTGAATGGGCCCCTCAGAATGTGCAGGGGTACACTAGGGTATTTCATCCTTGATGTCATTGCCAATGGATGAGTGAGTCACTGTGTCAGCACAGACTGAGGATGTCCTGGGCCACTGTTACTGAATGAAGTCAACTGCTGGAATGTGACCTACAGCATGAAGATGTAGGCAGTCAGCCTACCTCAATTGCTGTCAAGGTAATAGCTGAATTAGTTTTTATGCAACTGGGCTGTATCCTTCCAAGAAACATATGGAATCTGTCAATTGCC